AGCTGCTGCCTAGTGTAGCAGTTTAAAATATCAGGGAGATTTTGACTTTCTTATAGAAAGCTTAAACTCTTGGAGTCATGTGAATGTCAGCAAATCTCAGCTTCCACAAAAAAGAAAAAAAAAACAAACAAAAAAACCCCAAAAAAATCAACACCCAAACCAAAACAAAAAAACCCCAACTCAATGTATGTGAAACCTTAAAAATGCTGAGAAGCTTGAATGGAAAACCCTTATGCTACAGAAAATAAGGCATATTGAAGACCTGCAGAAATGTTATGTATGTATATATGTCAGTAGTTGTATATGCATCTATCTAAACCTCCTGGATTTGAAAGATTGAGGTTAGAAGCACTGTGGCATTGTGCTCCTCCAAAATGATGGTTTGGTTCTAGCTAATTGCACAATTTCAGGATTCATCCATTCCTGTCATAGCACTTCAGTAATTTTAATTTTGTAAGTACAGAACCAGTTACATGGGGAAGACATGGCTGCAGCACTCAGAGGAGAGGCTGTTTTACTCTGCATGTTGCTGCATTTGTTTCATGATTCTTCTGATGGATATAAAATACATCTAAACCACAGAGAGTGCACTGGTGATGTGGCATTGCTGAGCTCAGTTAAATAATGAGATGTGTTTCATTCAAATCAGAATGACTCTAAGCCCTGAATACTAAATAGGGCAGCAAAAAGCCTTCAAGCACACAAAATAAATGAGTAAAAAACCCAAATGAAACTGTCTAATAAATACAATGTGGAGCAACAGGCTGCATGTACTGGAGGAATTAAGGCAATTTGAAGCGTATGGGCCGTGCTGCATCTCAGATGTGCAGCTCCAAGGGCAGCTGGATGCACACATCACAGGGCAGGCTCTGGCTCAGAGCACACGCCTGCGTTTGATAGCACAGGTTTATGACCTCGTAATCCTAGAGCATCTAAAACAGTAAGAATTCCATCCAGCTTAAAATAGCTGCTGTAGTTGCTGTTCATACAGGCTCGAGGGCTCCCCGGCTCTGGGGCCAAATTTGGTGCTGGCATGATGGAAGGAAGTCTGTTGACAGCTGATAGCAGCAGAGTTGCACTTGATTACATCATAAGAAATTTGGCATGTGGAGCTGAATCAGAAGCCTGAGCAGAAATGTCCATTCCTCATCCAGAGTTAAAACTGGGACTTCCACATTGCCAATCCACAGAGATTTGTCTGGCCCAGATGTAGCTGTTGCTTTTCAGGGTCTTGCTTTGAAAGTGCATTCCCCCAGTTCCATTCAGCATAGTGACTGGAAAAAAAAAGGAGGGCTGGATTTTGCTGTCATGCCCAAAGGGATGAAGTCCCTGATCTTCCCAATGCCAGCACGGTGAGCTGATGGCCTGGGCTGGATCTGGGTCACAGCAGAGGGTCTGAGCTCCAATTGCTGGCCTTGTGCAGTGGCCAGGCCCTGGGTGCTGTCCTTCACAGGAGCTGCCACAGCTCCCAGTGCCCTGCTCTGGCAGCCTGTGTGGTACATGAGCTGCTGCAGGTCCATCCCATCCCCTCCTCCCTTCCTGTAAGGCTTGGAGTGCAGCTCTTACTGATGCTCCAAAGCCCCTCCTCAGCGTATTTCAAGAAATTAGATTATGTTGTGTTAATTTCTGCTGCTGCAAAAAATTGCCCCAATGCTGTGTTCTTTCCTTTTATTAAAATACTAAGTTGCTGAAGTGATTTCCATGAAAATTAATTAAAACAAATTAACGAGAAGCAGCTGAAAAATGGACTCCTCTACTGAAACTGTGGTATGCAAACTCTTAACCTCAATCACATATTTGTGGTTGCTCTATAAACACCTAAGTGTACAGCAGTGATTTGTCATGGTATTTTTTTGATGGAAAGTCTTAGAAAGTGAAGCTATACTACATAGTACATTTTCTCTCAGTTTAATACAGCTTATTATAATGCATGTGCTTACGTGCTCCATTTAGTAGCATTACTAATCTGCAGTTAAATCTCTGCTTTTTAGTAGTGGGAAAGAAATTAAAAAGATGCTGTCAGGCTCTGGGTTTCTGCATCACGTTTTCTGCTTTTGGGGGACAGGAGGGCAGGAGTCCCTTTATTAGGGAATAATACCAGCCTGGGGCATGGGTTGTGCCCTGCAGAAAGCAGAGGTGAGGAGGAGCTGTGCTCTCTAAAACCTGGATCCATCTGGGATCTCTGGATCATCTGGAGGTTCTGCAAATGGCTCTGGCAGGTGTGCAAAATGTCTGTGCTTACAGCTGTGTACAGCAAGCAGAGCTTGGCCCCTGCTGGGCAGTAAATAGAACACTTGCATTCTAGAACACGCCAGTGTTTTAGTTCCCCATGTATATTTCTTGTTGTCTCATTTGTATTTTATGTTCACTTTTCACTCAAAGATGTGGCAGGGGTTTGTTTGCTTTCTCTTATTTTCTCTGAGAATATGATGGAGGTCATGTTATTAAAGATAGTGTTGTGCATGTTAGAGGACAGGTATGGCAAGGTTCAGTGGGCCTTGTGAAGAATTCCTTACATAACTTTCCACCTTGGAAGGTCCACTCAGTCTCCTTGCAAAATTGTCAGCAAGCTCTGCCAGTGGGCTGCTCCCTGGAGAGAGGAACCAAAAGCTTTCACTACTGTCCTTCACTTGGAAAATGAGCTGACTGCTTTCTGCAGTGTGTCTCACCCAAGCAGAGCCTCCAGCCCTTTGGGACAGGAGAGCTCAGGGGAGGCAGCAAGCAATCTATTGGCTTGAATAGATTTTATTTACTATGCTCCCCCTTGGGACTGATGTGAAAAAATCCCACGTTTTCTGCCTAGGAGGCTTTGTGTGTAGTCCTCCATGAGCTAAACATTTCAGAGCAGAAAGACCTCCACAGGGAAGTTTTCTACCCGCTGACATTTGCCCATAACCAAAAAAAAAAAATTCAAAGAGGTTAATGAAACCAAGAAACCAACAGTGATTTTCTCCAAGGAGTGCTAGCAGTTTCAACAATTGCCATTACTTAATGTGCAAGCAGTTCCCGAGATTGTACATGCTAGACCAACTTCATCCTTGCTGTAACTCCTCAGAACTCAGTGGAGTTACATCAGGGATTCATTTGGTCCATTGCTTTCAGCCATCAGTTTTAGAGGATATACAACAGTCGAGGGAACTGTTATTGTCAGCATGGGTTTATGACTCTTTAGAGCTGCTCAGTACTTGTCTGTTACAGATACATAAGCAGGGTGAGTGTATGGAGTGAAGTTATGGGTTCAGTGTTGAAGGTAGTGGATTTTTCAGAGTTATTTTTGTACTATTAAAAGTAATAAACATTCTGGCAGCCATTATTGCTGTGAGTCTTACATAGATGCTTGAATACAGCTACACAGATCCTTGAAGCATGCACAGAAACATTTCATCTGGCAGACCACAAAACATTTCATGGAACATAGAAAATATTTGTAAATTTCTAAGCCCTGTTATCACACCAACTGACTGATGATCACAGTGTTCATGTGAATTTAGCTACACTTAATGCACCAAGGAAGTAAAGCTGGCTTATGAGGCAGCCATGAGGGCAGAGACAAAACAGAAGATCTTTAGAGTAGTTCTCTGTTTTCTTAGAAACCAAATTGTCTCTGTGATTTTCAGATTAAACTGAGGAAAGCATCCGCTGGTAGATCTGAATTGTTGGATGGTGAATCTTGCATCTGCACATCAGTCAGATATTTCAGTACATGTCAGAAGCTGTGGACAGCTGCCTGAATCTTTAGGCCATATGTAGGATTGTTGGATTAAATTATTTAAGCGTAAACTCTGACTGGAACAGATGAGCTAAAACAACCATTTCTAGTTGGAAATTGAGTGGTCAAAGCAACATTACTGCCTGGTCATGGCTAAGACAGTGAGCCCCTTTCCTGGATTGGTGAATCAGCTTTGCACTGATTGTTCCCAAAGCAAGGTACAAACTCGTGTGATCCCTGCTCTGGTTCCCTCCCTGCTCCGTGCTGGGAGCTCTTCCACAGCACAGGATGGTGTGTTGCCTTGTTGGGATTCCTTGCCCTCTGCTAGGGTGGCATGTTTGGGCACTGAAGGGAGGGTTTTGTCTTTGCAGCCTATTAAAGTTTGGGTCACCCAGAGGGATGAACAAAGTTGCTCTGGCCTGTCACAGAACAAGTGACAGGCTTCCCTTTACACCACTTCTCTGGGTCTTTCTGGTCTTTTCTTCTCAAGAACATTGATTTTTGCAGAATTCGCGGACTTTGGCTGAGTAAGACCTTGTCTATATTTAGTGACAACATCTCCAAACTGTGGGATCTTGGATTACTTCTCCATTTCTATATCCAAGTTCTTTTTCAACCTGCATTGACTGCACACTAACCTGCAGACTGAACCCCTTTTCTGGGGGCTCATCATCCTACCCTGTGTCTTGCTGCTGTGATTTCTGCTGAGGAAAGGCCAAGAGCACAGGCCAGGAGCATCCTGCAGCCTGCTCCAGCTGGACAGTGCAGGCCCATCGGCATCCTGGGCACAGAATGTGCTGAGTGCTGCACCTTCAGGCTGGGATGGCTCCTCAGCCTGGTGACTCCTGGGTGGGTGCACAGCCACACCAGCTCTTCCCAAGGAGCTAAACCTGAAACATCCCTAGAGCCACGGTGACATACTGAGAGCAATAACCATGTCCCTCAGCTGAAATGATTCATTAGTGTTAAAATGTCAGGACCATTAACATGCAAGCGAGCCTTTTAAAATTTTGAGGACAATGGGCCATGTCCTGGAAAAGATTTGAGGTAATTGTGTTGGTTCCAGCACCATTTTCCATGAAAAATGTACTCATGCAAGTAAAGATTTGTTGGCTGGGCCTCCCATTTTTGTTAGCTTTACTTTATTGCTGTAATTACACCCAGTGGCTTATCTAATAGAGTCATGTTCTTATAAAGAAATTAGGACAATTAATGCTACTTTTAGTGAGAGTGAAATAGTAAGTCAAATTAAATTGAAATTTGACCAAGCTTTTCTTTTTTTATTTCCTAGTGTCTGAATTACAGGAAGAAGGAATAAATGCCATTAACTTACCTCTCAGTCCCATTCCATTTGAACTAGACCCCGAGGACACTATGCTAGGTAATTCACAAAAATTTTACATCTCAACCTGAAAACTTGCTGTAAAATGAAGTGTTGTGCCTGGGATAGTTTCTAATGTTTTTCTTTTAAACCTTCCAGAGGAAAATGAAGTCCGAACAATGGTGGATCCAAATTCAAGAAATGATCCAAAATTGCAAGAACTAATGAAGGTAATGAAAGCATGTAAACCCTGTCAGGAAGTGGAACTATTTTTTCATGCCACCCCTGCCTCTTTCACTTGAGCATTTGGAAGCACTAGTTAGATATTAATTAGTTGGAACCACATCTCAGTGAAATGGGGAGGTCATTTGTGGCAGTATCTTTCTCTAGATGTGGCACAGGGAGACTTTCAAATTCCTGTTAAAATCCTGAGGCCAGAGTGTCAGTCCCATCCCATCCCCAATTGAAGATCATGCTGATCTTCCCTTGTCTTTGTGATTCTCTTGGTGTTAGAACTTTAGCAGGATGCTTCATTAAAATCAACTTGAGCACCTTTAACACATTAAGATGTTAAAATTCTACTGAAAGCAAGGGAAAGATTTCAGTCCAGAGGATACTGCATTAATTAGTGTTTGTCCAGACCTTGTGGTGCATTGGCACAGCCACCTCAGGTGAGTCCTTCCTGAGTCTTTCCTGTTTGCTCCTGAAGGTATGTCAGACTGTATTTTGAGCCACTGCAGCTTTGGTATTCTTTCTGCTAAGAAAAATGGCATGTGGTTTAAATTGCAAATGAATAGTGTATAACACTGCCAAATTTGTGTTTCCCACATAGGTATTAATTGACTGGATTAATGATGTGTTGGTAGGAGAGAGGATTATTGTGAAAGACTTGGCTGAAGACCTGTATGATGGACAAGTATTGCAGAAATTATTTGGTAAGAGAAATACACGTGCACGGTGTTAAAGAAGTGGATCTCTTGTTCCTGCCCAGGAGCCTCAGTATCATCTTACATTTATGGCACTAAGTGGTACAAAAATAGCATTGTGTTATGAGCCCCCCGAGCAATGGGCTGTGTGCACAGCCCTCGTGGCTGCAGTGCAATGTGTGGTGCTCTGCAGCTGGTGAGAGCAGCACGAAGCCTACCTGGGGTGCTGCAGAGGGAGGGCTCTTGTCTTGGCAGCACTGTTCACTCCAATTAAATTTATTACCTGCATACGGGCTGCACAAACTTTGCCATGTTACAAGTGGAAAGTAAGTTTGAAGGCAAGGGCAGCCTCAGTGCCATGGTGGATGTTTTTAATCTCTGCTCCTTCCATGCTATAGTTTCTTCATCGCAAGGTTCCTCTGGAAAGTTGGAATTTCTTTCTGGTTTGGTGTCTGGCTTTTAACATGGCTGAGGTAATGGTGCCCAGTGGACTGTAATCTAAGCTTCAGCTGAGAAACAGATAGAGAAAAGAAACTGCTAATGCAGAGTTGGCATGTGCTTTTTATGCTGTTGGCTTGAAAGCCATTTTCTTAGCTATTACAGCTCATAAAGTCTCCAGTAAATTTCTTTCCAGTATCCTAAATGAATCTTGAAACATCATGTGAGCACTTCTAATAAAGACTTCACAGCCTATTCCCTTCTATGAATGGTTAAGCTGTTGAATATATTGTGATGGACTGGATTTGCCCAGACTGAGCAATTGGATTGTCCTGGACAGATCTCCAGTGACTTCACCCAAAATTCACAACATGTGTATCAGGTGCAGCCTGACTCTAAATATGCATACACTGATCTAGCATTTATTGATTTCAGAGGAATCTTTTCCATTACCCTTAATTCCTTATGGATCAGGTCTCTGCTTACTAAATCTTCAGTCTTGTGGTGAGGAGGTGCAAGAAACCTATGCAGATAGCAGCTCTTAGGCAGGATTAGGAGATAGCAGCTCTTAGGCTGGATTAGGAGATAGCAGCTCTCAGGCTGGATTAGGAGATAGCAGTCTCTTAGGCTGGATTAGGAGATAGCAGTTTTTAGGCTGGATTAGGAGCTAGCAGTTCTTAGGCTGGGTTAGGAGCTAGCAGCTCTTAGACTGGATTAGGAGATAGCAGCAGTTCTTAGGCTGGATTAGGAGCTAGCAGCTTTTAGGCTGGATTAGGAGCTAGCAGCAGATCTTAGGCTGGATTAGGAGCTAGCAGCTCTTAGGCTGGGTTAGGAGATAGCAGCTTTTAGGCTGGGTTAGGAGATAGCAGCTCTTAGGCTGGTGGTTTAGGCTCACTCACTTTGGAAAGACACTCAGTTGGCTTTGATGGGAACAAGATCAGCTCCTACCAAATAAGATAAATCTTCACAAAATACTCTTTTGTAGAATTAGATTGATAAGTGACCAAGCATTTCTTTTCTGGTATTGTCACCAGGGAGCAGCTGTATTTTCTTTGCTTATTCTTTAAGGGTTAACAATAAACCACGTATGTATATACATAGCAAGTGTACTAATTGTAACAAACCAATTCCTAAAGTATTTTAAAATCTACTGCACATTTTGAGTGCAGAAAATGGCTGTGCTTTCATGGAGAGAAATTTGCCTGAGGTTTTAGTTGTTTTCATGAAAACTTGTTTGCCTTTCTTTGATGCATCCTCTGCCTCTATGAATATGGAATCACTTCCATTTTATCACTAGTGGACCAAGTAAAATTTTTATCTCCTGCATCTGAGGTAGAAGCTGGGAGGCTGAGACTGATGAAGTAAAGTTGGTGTGTGTTTCCTAGGTTCGATGGTCTGCTGTGCAAGCCACTTGCAAGCAGAAGCAATAGAAGGAAAGGTCCTTATGTCCAAGGCTGGTGCTCCCTAAAGGGAGTTGCAGCAAATGTTTGTTAGCCAGTGGTGTGGCATAGAGCAGTGCTTGGCCTTCTCCTTGTCAGTGTGCAACTAAAGGCAAAATGTGAACTTACCTTTAGGAGCTCAGAAGTGTAGAGAAAAAGTGGCTCTGGAAAACCTTAGATACAAAATTAGGAAGTCTGATGTCTCCTGAATGTTCCTCTGGGTGTATGGAATGTCTTTGTGTTCTTCATGGAGCTGACAATTTTTTTTTTCTTCCATTCTTTCTTCTGTCACTTCAGAGAAGCTTGAAAGTGAGAAGCTGAATGTTGCAGAAGTCACTCAGTCTGAAATTGCTCAGAAACAGAAGCTACAGACAGTGCTTGAAAAGATCAATGAAACCCTTAAACTCCCTCCAAGAAGCATTAAGTGGAATGTTGACTGTAAGTTTTGTGTTTGCTGTGCTGTTCTCATCTGTTGACAGCTGGGAGGTTGTAGGTGCCATCTGGAGTTATGAAAAATCCAGTGGCAAGGGAGGGCTGAAACCTGGGATTTATGGCAGGAACTTCTTTGAAGGGCACTTCCAGATGTGCCACTCTGTCCTCTTTACTGGTGCTCAGCCTTCTGTTCCAGTTAGGTGTCTTCTCAGAGTCTATCAAAGTATGGTGACTTTGCTCTGAAGTCCGTGTGCATACCAGCTAAAGTTTTGTATTGCTAAATTGGTTTGTTGAAACAGGCAAGTACCTGCAGAAATGCAGCAGATGGACATAAGGAGAGTTAGGTCCTAGAGCTCTGTGTGGAATTTGTGACATAGATATGAATAATATTTCTGATCATTTCAGGCAAAGTCTGAACCACTAGTTTTGTTTACAAAACTCTAATCAAGACTAATTCTGTGCCCTTCCTGGTCTATTGTATTAAAAATGAACATAGCAGTATCTAATAGAAATGTCTTCAGTGGCCCAGCACAAGACACTTCAGTGGATATGTATTGGAGAAAGCAGGTTATCAGTTGTAGAAAATTAGGCCTCTTAATCTGTTTTAAGTTTGGTTTTCAGAATCATTTCATGCTGGTGAATACCTTGACCAGTACATCACATTTTCCCTGTCTTCTGTACCTGTCTTGTGCTGAGCAGTTTTGTATCCTGTTCCATTCACAACAAATTAGTTAGAAGGAGAGAAATATCTCAAGGGAGGAAGAGTGAATATTTGGCATTTGACTTTCCCCTGTCTGTGGTCCTGCTGAATTTTTTGTCCCCTTCTTTTTCCGACCTGCCCCGAGTTTTCTTTCCATTCTTTATTATGCAGCTGGGGGCAGGGTGTTTGGAGTGCCTGACAATTTAACTCCTAGTTTTAATTCAATGTTTTACATGTGTTTTAGAGCTGAATAGAGATAGAGAGCAGCAGCTGTGTCCAGCTGTAGCACACACTGGTGGTAGGCAGACACACATCTTTGTAGTGTAAGCACCTCATCTCTGACCATGGGCACTCCAGCAGCATTTGCCAGCAATGCCACATTTTATATCAATGTGTATCTGCATGGCGTAGCTGAGACTTGCACTGTAGGATTATGAAGAAGGGTATTTTAGTGAATCTGATCGTGTTTCAGCAGTGCAGTAAGGTAGTACTTAATGATTAGTTCAAGTACAAAAAATCTAAGTGCACAGCAGTGTCCAAGATCTTTTAGGAATACCACTTTGGGGAATGCAAAAACAAAATAGAAGAAGAAAGGCAATAATAAGGATTGGAAAATATCCACATGCATGGCAATGGTTTGATGCTTGATCAAGGATTTCCTACAGTTTGGCTTTTGATGTCTTGTAAGTTGTGTTAGTGTTAACTACCCATATATGAAACCCACTGAAAAAACCTTCAGTAACAGAACCAGAACAACTTCATGAGGAATGTTTGAGTCATTGAGTTTAATAAGTTATTGCTTAAGGCTTATGCCAAAACAGGCTCATTTATCATCCTGCAGACATTGTGACACTTAAAAATGAATAAGTGCATGTTATGAGTACAAAAATATCTTTCTGATAGTCCATAAATCCTTATTGAAGTAAAGGGAATAAAAGAGAGGCAAGGAGAATGCAGAGACAGCACTTAGACTGTTGTACATAAAATCTGGCTTTTGGATTAGCTTTAGATTTCCATCTCCATGAGCCTGTGACACTCAGACATGTTGCAAAGAGTGGTGCATGGGTGCTGATGGGGTGCCTTAAAGGTGGCTCCAGGTGCAAGAGGAAAGGAGTCCCATAATCCTTGTATCCTAAGCAGAAGTAAAAGTCTGTGCCCTAGTTATTTTGCAGTTTGTAACTTGTGCTTTTGATGTCTATTTCAGCTGTTCATGCTAAAAGTCTCGTAGCCATACTTCATCTTCTGGTTGCATTATCTCAGTATTTTCGAGCACCAATCCGACTCCCTGACCATGTGTCCATCCAGGTGGTTGTTGTGCAGGTAAGAGGGGCTTTAAACAGCTCTTGGTAGTGTTGTGAAGTTGACTGAGGGGTTTCTTGGAAAATGCACCTGGAGTTTCTGGCTGGGCAGGCACATGTGTGTCTCCTTGGCTGACAAGGAGCACCCGTGCATCTTCCCTGGAAAAGGCATGAGAAGAGAAAAATCTGCTTTCCCAGCTTGAGCTGTGCCTCACAGTGTCTTACTTTGACTGTGAAGTGGCCAGACTGTGACAGTAAAAATACGTGAAACATTATTATTGTTGGAATGTGTTTATCACCCGGAATGATCGCTAGAATTATTATTTTCCCCATTTTTTGATGCTCTTCTCACTTGTGTAGAGATTCAAATTATTCTTGGCACTGAATGATGAATTGTCACTGTTTATTACATTCACATTTATGTTAGGTGACTAACTTCTTTTTCAGCTCTGTGCATGCTAATTTAGTCTGATTACAGTGTTGGTTTTCTCAAAAGCATGCAAAAAAATCCCCATCAACTAAATCTTTTGTCAGTCTCCTTATTGGAGCCTCATCCATTCAAATTCATGTTTTTCTGTTCATCATTTTTCTTGCAGCTGAACTTGTGCTTTCGTTATCTTATTTGTCCTCTTCCCATTTAATCTGCTTTTCTTTCTCTCAATTAACTTTGCCTTTATTTTTCACACTGCAACTGTCTTTATTTATGTCTTTGAACTGATGTTACCCTGAAGTAACTGGGTGAAAGAGCTATTGCTCAAGTTTTGTGTGGCTGAAAATCTGCAAGACAGATCTGAGAAAGTAAACATTCTCTCTTGTAGAATTCAAATAGGACAAGTTTTGTAACTTAGGGAGAAATCTGAAGGAGAGTCTCTGGTAAATGTGTCACTGCTGTCTGGTAGTGACTCATTGACTCAGATTCTGCTTCATGGGTTTCTCTACAGATGATGAAGGACAATCCCTGGGAATCTGCACTTATATGTCTAAGGCTTTGAAGAAACCTAACCTTTGGCTATTATAAATGTATTATTTATAGTGGTTTATCTCAAAGTTCCACCAAAACCAACTGGAGTACAGTGAGTAGGGCATCTTTATGATGAAAAACTAAATGAGAAAAATAACACAGTCCTTAAAGAAAGAATCAGAACCTCTGCTGTCATTCCATAGCTCCAGACAAAATTCCAGTTTAAATCAGTGGGCATCATTATCCTCTTGTTTAACAGGCTAATGTAGTTCACTGAAGTCAGTACAGATAAACCAATTTAAAACAATAAGTAGTGGGAGAATCTGGCTCACTCTTGGTTGCACAGCTGCAGCTCAGGCGCCAGTGGTTGGCAGGGGAGGCAGTTCCACCAGAATAATGTCCAAGTCATGGTGAAGGAGATTTGGTGAAAGCCAGTGACCTCCAGAGTTCTGCTTCTTCCTATTAACAGAGGGTGGGGGCCAGTATATTTACTGTAATTGTAGTTACTGTAATTGTTTGAGACATTTCTCATTTTTTTTTAATGGTGGGTGAAGGTTTTATTTTTATTTTTTAAATCTTTCACATCCTGTGGGACTGATTCTGTATCATGCATCATGTACTCTTTGAACTCACAGAAGTTTTAATCAACTATCAGCAGGTCCTAATGACTGATTTAGTGGTCAGGCTTGCACACCTCATGTTCTGAACACTTGTGCATTCTGTAAAGAAAGATCAAGCCTAGGGAAGCTTAACAGACTATGCAGTAGCTGTTTTAAAATTCTGCTGGGCATGGTTTAATAAAGAGAACAGGAGAGACAGAAATAAAGGAACAAAGTGGTTTTATGAAGTCTTCTCAGAAAGACTTCCTTAATTCATTTCATGATTTTGTTAGGCATAGAAACACATAAAACGTGAGGGTTGCTGTGTTGGCTGGATGTAGCTTATTGAAATAGAAAAAGCATATTTGTGAAACAAAAAATGTGCTCATGTCTAACAGGTAATCAGCCTAGTTCTTATGAAAGCTTATTTCCTTTGGCTCTTTTGTACAAAAGCTGTTAGCAATGAGAGTGATATGAAATCTGGGTTTAAGCTGATTGAGGAAAAAATGTGATAGTTGGACCTTTTGTAGCTACTCTATTATTTTATTTTCCTGCCATAACAGTAGAATAAATAACTTTGAACAAAGCCCAGGCTTTGTTTGATCATATCTACTGAAATGACTGAGAGCTTTTTTGGAGAGCTAGGTCTTGTCATCATTTTGCCTCTTCTTAAAAATTATTTATTTCTACCATCCACGGATGGTTAGATGACAGATTGTTTGTGTCCAAGAGATGGAAATCTGAGAGTGTAAGAATGCATTGGCAGAGCAGCCAGAATGGCTTCAGCATGTTCTGGGACAGCAGTTCTGGGGTGCATGAACTGCTCTTAGGCAGAGCTAGGGAATTATTGGGATGAGATGAGTGTGTAAATCGCAGCCCTAATCAGAGATCCTTGGTACCACTGCCTGGGAAGGTCTGAAAGGGTTTGGAGCAGCACTGCCTCCAGGTCCCAGTGAAGTCTTCCCTGGACCCCTGACAAATGCATTTGTTCTTTCAAGCTCCAGAGTAATTCTGCGTTTCACTTCGGTGGGGCAATTATAAAACATGGTCCTCCAGGTGAAATGAGTTGTAACAAGACACAGGCAAAAAGCCATCCAAATAATGGCAAGATTTTCAGACTGGGGCTTTGTGGGGGAAATTAAGCAGCTGGCCCTCAGTTGCATAAAAATGCTGACTCGAAAGGAGATAAGAGATCTTTTCTAATTCCAGATGTACTACCTTTTTGTGTTCTAGGGAGTTGCCAGTTTTAAATGGTAACTGATTAGGAATATCTTCAGGGCCTTCTGAAGTCTTTCAGCTGTGAGGGAAGAAAATGCCAAGCCTGTTCATTAAGGTCTTCTGTTATCACTGGAATGCATCTCCAGCTTTTCTTTTTAATGGAGAATTCTAATTCATGCCTCTTTTCTCAGGGACTTTCAAATAATTGATTTTTATAGCTTGTTGTTTCAATTTTAGCCACTGTTGCCTTTAAGAAACATGCTGGATAGTCTTTCAGTCCTCAGCAGCACCTCTCTATTTTCAGGAATATTGTGTTATTCTCTGTCTAGTATAAGACAATCCTCACAATAGGTGATGTCAGTGCTGGGGTCAATTTTGAGTGAAGAGTTTTTAAAGAGCAAGAGATTATGAGAAGCAGCCTTCAGAGAAGGTGCTTAGACCCGTGTTTTAGGGTCCATTCCATTGGGAATTTACCAGTCTTTTTACAAATCAAAGGTGTAGGGAAGTCTGTCGTGACATGTTCTGGTCAAATGAGTGTCCAGAGGATGCACATTGTGTTTGGGCAGTGTGGAAATCCCATCAGTGTTAGTGGTCAGGTGCCAGACACAAAACAAGGGCTTGGCATCATTTTGGTTTGGGGTTTTTGTTTGTTTTTGTTGTTATTGTCAACAACAAGATAAGGCTGCGGATTTTTTTCTTTTAATATTTTAGCTGCATTTTATCGGAAAAGGAAATATTTTTAATATCAGTGCTGGAGTATATTTCTGGCAGTTTTGGTGTGCGTGCAGAGAGAAGGTGTAGAGCATTAGAAACCTTTTTCTGTTCCCATATTCCCAGTCTGATCACTGAAAGCTACAGATGGCATTGCTGTGGTGCTCAGCCCCTGTGGGAGATGAGAGCAGCAGGGTTCTTGCTGCATGAGGCATCAATGGCATGTCAGAGTCCTCGTGAGGACGAAATAAAAGTTTCCTTTCACCCTGCAGCAAAGGGAAAAATAAACAAAAAATACCAAACAGAGTGAAGTTCCAAGTTGTGCTAGCATGAGCTAGATTGTGACTTGGGGTTTCAGTTAGTTCTGGAGACAGCACTCACTGCTGTCTGCACAAGCTGGGTGTGTGGGTAGCCCCAAATTATGTCATTCTAAATTATGTCATTCTTCCTCAGGCTTTGATAGGCAATGCCTCTGCAGCTGCTCTGTGCCCCCTCTTCCACAGTGTAACACCCTCGACTCCCCTCTGTCTTTTAAGTTCTCCAGGGTCCTCCCTCAATGCATTTTTCAATATGTGCAAGATATTTAGAAACTGGACTTTCAGAAATATCATGGAAACCCCCTGAAACTGTCATCTAGCTGCAAGGACAGTTCACATTGCTCCAAGTGCCAGTCTGGAATAACCCAGAGGGCCGTGTTCAGCTTTTCTTGAGAAATAAATATATTTCTTGGATATATTTTAGTAATACAATGTAGAAGGAAAAATATATCAAGAAATGTAATTTAGTAATGGAAGGAATAGACAAGCCTGGCTCAGTCCTCAGCACATCACACACTGAGGACTGCCTCAGGTAGGGATGTGCTGTCTTCTCCAAGGAAGGAGAAAGCAGCAGCCCCAGTTCAGATGCCAGGAAGGACTTTTCTAAAAGGTAATTCTCCTTTTTGCTTTTTCACATAGAAGATGAGTGTAGAGCCAGCATAAATCTATTTTTCTCATTTCCTTGTATGACAGGGAGTGAAGAATCATGAGTAATTGCCTGATATCTTGTCTAGACTTGAAATGGAGTTGTCAGCATTTGCCTGACTTTTCTCTGTGTACTGCAAATTTTTGGTAATACCAGCGAAGAGGATTGACAGAGAGAGCACAGAGAGAGGCAAAACATATGTGTGGTATTTACAGCAGCAGGCCCAGATGAGTGTGATCAGCAAACTGAAACAGTGTCAAACTCTTCAAGTGCTGCATTTTGCAGCTGATTCAAGCAGCAGTGACTGGAGCTGGCTTCTGCCAGGCTGGGCACAGCCTCTGGGCAAAGGCTGCTCAGCACCAGCTCCCATCTGGGGAACATCAGAGTCACTGCTGGACCAGCATGGCAGTGTGGATTTTTGGTTTCCGTCAGAAGCCGATAGAGCTGTTTGTCAGCAGAGAAAGGAAACACTGAGGAAAAAAAAAAAAAAAAAAGAGTACAAACAGGGCAAAAAGAAAAGAACAAAAAGAGCAAATAGCCTGGGAACACGATTTTTGCAAAAGAGAAGCGTGGGCACCATCTGCCAAGCTGTTCATTGAAATACAGGGCTGAATTGAGCTCACCTAGGCCTATCTCCACTAAAATACTTACATGTGTGTTTGGGTGTTTCAAATGTCTCGCTGAATTGGGGCCTTTAAAAGAAAAGTGAATTAAGAACAATGGAGAAAGGAAAATAAATACTTCCTTCTACAGGTGGAGTTTCAGGTTTCTTGTTAATGTATAAAAGAGTTCTCTGAAATACTTGCACGGTAAAATAATATATTACTGAAAATTTGTGTAAGAAAAGGTCTTATTCTGCAGGTTTCTTATCTAAGTGTATTTGTGGATCACAAATTTTTACTGTACCCTAAGCATTAAACTTTAGTGAGAAAAACGTCGCTTTTTTCCTTTTTGCAGAAACGAGAAGGAATCCTCCAGTCTCGACAAATCCAAGAGGAAATAACTGGTAACACTGAGTATGTCAACACCACATTTGCCAGCAGTACAGTAATTGAACACAGATGTGTCTCAGAAATTCAAACATTTGCTGATATTTAGCTTTCAGTATTGGGGTTCCAGGGAAGATGATGCATCAGCCAGTGACTGTATTTTAGCCTTTTCAAGAGCTGCAAACAAGCATCTAAAAATACAAAAAGGGGGAGGAAATAGAGAGGTGGGGAACTAAAAGCAGGACTTTAGGTGTGTTAAATGATGGTAGTAAGCCTTGTATGTGCCATCTCACTGAACATTTCATAACAGAAAAGTTGTTCCAAACCAAAAGGGAACAGTAGCAGAATATCCAGGTTTCTAATTGAATGGAGAGAAGCTGCACTACTGACTTATTATTAATCTGTATGGATTTATGTGTGATAGTTATATGAAGGATCAACTGGAGCAAAATCCTGCAGTTCCTAAGAACCCAGCCCAAGCCTTGTTTGGGCTGGGTTTCTATTGTGGTTGGTGTGGTAGATGCATCTTTGAAGCAGAGGGAAAAGTTTTCTCAAAATGAACATGGAAAAGCCTTCTTTACTCAGGCAGGGTGTGCGAATCTGGTTCAAAGTAGGGAATATGGGATCTGGCCTCCTGTGAGACTTTGGTGGAGACAAGAGATATTATATTGATAGAGTCCAGACTAACCCTGGAGTAACTTGGTGAAGTTATTCCCAAAATTCTCCTAAATCCATGGATCTACTCCATTAGTCAGCAAGCTGAAGATCATGGTATGAAGATCGTACCATGTATGCTGGGTTTTGTTGCAGCACAATATCTGCAGGTGAATTATATGTAACTGTTGTGTTCTTTTCCATTTTTTTCCCCCCAGGGCATTATCAGGAAGGCATGGTAAGTTCATTTGATTATTGTCTCTTTTCTTGAGGCAGCCAGAGGGTACATGAGTTCTGCAGTGGGTGGTCACTTTGATCAAGTGGCAAGAAAGGAGAGGATTTCAAGTTGCCCTGGTAAATATGCACCACAGGCTGTTGTGGCATTTAACACAAGGGGAAAAAAAGCCAATAAAATCACTCTGATCATCTTTAAAACACATTTCATTGCTGTCCAGCACATGTTAATTTGCACATGCTTTGTGTTTTAACCTCCAGAACATTACTGCAGTGGTATTGATGGTCCTGAGTTCCCAGCATAGTGTGAAAATGGTGAACCAGCTGGTGAATGTTGATATTCCTCATCCATTACCTACTTATACTTTAAAGATGTGGAGTCATTATTCAGCAGGCCCTGTGCCTCGTGTGTCTCACTGCCAGGATTGAGGCTGGACAATAGGAAACACTCCCCTGAGTCTTGCTTGGTGTAAAGTCTGCCTTCCACAAATGCCTTTGGGTTTTTTCTTAAATTGAGGAATATGAATGTTTGTTGAGTCATTTGCTGTTATTCAGGTGTTTGTTGCAACACAAATTGCTCAGAAAAGGCTCTGGTGCCTTTTTATGTATTTTTCTCTTTTCTTCAGAAGGTGGCTGCAGTAGCACTCCAGTCATGCTACCTTGGGTTGGCTGTCCTAAATTGCCTCTGAGAATGGCCAAAAACATCTGTACAAAGGATTGTATTGCAGATGTTTAATCATAAACCTGCTTAATAATGCAGTCAGTGGCCCTTGGGGAAAATCTTCCTCTGTAGATACAGTGACTAATGTAAACTCATGTTCTTCTGCAGAAATGATTTGGTTACTTGGCTGTCTCTATCTGGCTGTTCAAGATCTCATGCATAAAGATGCTATTCTTAGCTCATTTTTGAGAAACAGGGTCTTTAGGTGACCCAAATCCTACCTGAAAATGATGCTTTTTTGTGAATAATAGAGAACAGTTTAACTGGCAGGTCGCAGCAAGAGAGAAGTATGCAAACTCCTTGGCACTTGGAATTCAGAGACTATATTGAACCATTTTGCTGACTGTGCTGTCTGAAATGAATGTGTGTCTCAGGAAGTGTTTATTCTGCACTGGAACAACTGCTGCCCAGTATATTAATGGCCCTGAATGTTTTTCAGAAAGAGATGCATTCGACACTTTATTTGACCATGCCCCAGACAAGCTCAATGTAGTGAAAAAGGTTGGAAGGTTTTTTATTTCTGAAATACCTCATGTGCTCATGTGCATGCTTGTGTGTATCAGATGGTGTGGATGTGCTGTGTGTGGATATAATGCAAAATGGCATGCTTTGCATACATTAAATACAATTCAGCTTTATGCTTAAATACACAAAGTCATGATTATAATCTTAGTTTTTATTTAATGTTTAGCAGCACGAACTTAACTTTGGAACATGGAACAACATACAGTTATCAAAGTTTCCATCAGGAGAATTCTCACAAAGTGTGTGCTGAGTAGAACCCAACTGGTACATTGACTGTACTGATGCCAATGAGATATCCAGTTTACAGCTGCCAGAGGTCTGACCCTAGAGTATTTTGGCTGCTGTCAGATTTGAGTGGGGTCCAATTACCCACTTCTCCCTAGTCTGCTAAAAATTTGGGGGTTTTCTATGTTTTAACAGTGTATTTATTTATATATATATATATATATATATATATATATATATCACATTCATTTTAGTTCTGTTCTTCATTCTTGTAAAAAATAATTTTAAAACCATTTTAAATGTCACATTTCAATTTCAAAATTTGGAGATTGTGTTGCAGTCGCTTCACTCACGCAGATTCTCTTCTGAGTGGAGCTCACACTGCTGGTGTTGAGCTGCTGCCCTGCTCAATAGGCCTTCATTGCAGTGTTTTCATATTTCAGACTCTCATCACCTTTGTGAACAAGCATCTGAATAAGTTGAATTTAGAGGTGACTGAACTGGATACACAGGTAAGAAAGGCTATAAAATCCTTTCTTAAAGGGGAGAGGTAGTTGCACTCTGTTGTGCACTGTGCCCTCAGCTTTATCCAGAAATTTCACTGAATTATTGTTGAATGAGCTCTAAGATGTTATTTCAGCAGGAAATCCTTCATTTCTAAAGACGTACAAAGACCCTCACCAATCAAGCATCTAAAACAGTTTTGTATCTCCATTGGCGTAAAAATTAATTACCAAATGCTACCTTGTGGGTGCTGCCAAGTGCTGCAAGGAGGACCTGCTGGTTTTGGTCAGGAAGGGGTTGTGTGCGCTTGGTTTGCTGCAGTGCCAGGCTGAGCAGTTGTTTCCTGCCTACCTTTGCACAAGCACATGGGATCACAAAGCCTCCATTCGGGGGGAATTCAGGATTCTCCAGAGCAAAGCTGCTCAAGTGTACAGGCAGCTGTACAGCTGGGCTGCAGGCTTGATTGCACCACAGGAATAATGTGCTGCATGCTCTTCTGTCATGTTCTCAGCTGCTAAATTGGCTGAAAAGAAGCTAAAAGAAAAGCTTAATCCTGCTGTATTAATACCTCCCCATGTGAACAACTGCAGCAGTTATCGTAAGAAAATTACGGGGTCAGGCAGGAAGGGATGGGATCTGCACGATCAAAAAACCCCAGGTGTCTTCAGGTCAGGCTTTATTTTATGTCTTGGTTCCTGTTATTAAGAATCTCCGCTTTATTTACACACCTACCAAGCTGATAGAGATTTTTCAAAGGTAAAATTAAGATTTAGATGGAAATCGTGTGCAAAGGCTTTCAAAAGGGCATTCCCTATTTCTGCTCATTGCATCATTTACCTTGGGGGAAAACATTCCAATGTACCTAGAAACTCCTTAAGCATTTATCTGAAGCAGCATTCCCTGAAATGAGAGGTTGTATTTCCATCAGCTGAAGGAAAATCACCTGCCTGAGGAAGGTGATGGGTTGAACAGACCCATAGACCTGATGCCACTGGGGTAGGAGTGAGAGTGACAAAACCACAGAAACATGGAATGGTTTGGGGTAGAGGGGACCTTAAAGATCATCCAGTTCCACTCCTCCTGCAGAGACACCTCCACCAGAGCAGCTTGCTCAGAGCCCCATCCAGCCTTGGTCACTTCCCTGGGCAAATCTGTTCCAGGACTCCATTGTCAAGTAAGGAAAGCAGTGAACTGTTTTTCAGAAAATGTACTGAGAAATGTTTTGTTTTGTTTTTTTTTTTTTCCACAGTTTGCAGATGGAGTGTACTTAGTCCTGCTAATGGGTCTCTTGGAAGGCTATTTTGTTCCCCTGCACAGCTTTTTCTTGACTCCTGATAGTTTTGAACAAAAGGTAACTAGATTTCATCTTTCTGTTAAAAACAAACATATAAATATGTCTAGTTGTAGAAGGATAACACAAACTTTTGTGCATAAGTTTGATGCTAATAGCTGAAGTCAAGAAAGGACTGTACTGCTAACCATTTCCAAGTATTTAAAAAAATCAGTACTAATACTTAGCTGGAATGAAACAGAAAATTATATTAATGATGGGGTGGTTAGCAAGTATTAACAGATTTTGGCAGCCATTGTGTGTTGCTGTCATTATACAAGACCTACTGTTCATTAACATATATAGGATTACACACAGGCACTGATGACAGAATTGATTTTTTTTGTGTGTCCAAAATCCAAGAATTTAATGTTGGAAAGGTTTAAAGGGTTTTGGAAGCATAAAGGCATATATGTACAATGTGTCAATTTAAGACCAACATTACATCAGTGTCTGTAGCTATCCAGGCAATTCATCTGTCTGTTCAAGACAAGAGCACTTCAGGGGCCATCATGTTCCAATTTTTGAACTTGTAGGAAGTGGGCTGTGCTTACTTGTGAGTAATTTTATTAAGGGTTGTGTTAGTTCATGTTAACTTTTGATTATCTTTCTGCAACCACCATCACCCAGAAACAGCAGAACAATGGACTGTCTGCATTCCAAAGACCAGACCTACAGAGCCCTGACTATTTTTTCCTTTTGAATATCTTTTAAATATACCTTGTCTTGACCATTTGCACTGTACAGAGTTCACAGGAGTGACTGCCTCTGTTGTATTGCCAGGTTGTCAATGTATCCTTTGCATTTGAGCTAATGCAGGATGGTGGATTGGAAAAACCAAAGCCAAGACCAGAAGGTACCTGTTCTACCTTTTTTGTATCTCCTTAAAAATTTGTGTGGGCTCCAGATCTCACAAGGTTGCAGTGTGGCTAAGTGAAGGTAAAGTTAATCAGCAGCAAAAGGCGAGGTACATTTTGTAGTGCTCAAGGAACTCTGTATTTTAAATGCACTTTTTCAAAGGTTGCAATGCTTCTTTTATTCATTGGCCAAACATATGCAGTAATACTCCAATATTCCCTGAAAGAAAGAGAGCACAATTGTGATTGGTGTCACTGGCAGGTGTCAGTTGCTCCAATTGCTCCATTTTCCTCCATCTCATGTTTTCATGCTAAACCTTGAGTATTCCAGTAATTTATAAGATTTTCACAAACGAAGGAGATGTTGTGGAAGCTGAATTTCAAATGTTCACATACTGCCTTTGGATGCAGGACCTAATAATGCATATTTAAATTAGATGTAGAGCTGGGGACTGACAGTAGAATGTGCTTCATGGAGGATAAAGGTTTTGCTGCTGACTTTGGGAGCATTGGGATTCCACTCCTCTTTGTTGATACACATACAGTGTTCAAATCCAGCTTTTCAGGCTGGAGACAGAGCCCTGGATTCTCTTGTTGCTCCTCCTATGAGGAGTTACCACTTCTTACCATGCAGGAGCTGTGTGTGCAGCTTCTCCTCCCCTCTTCCCACCAGGAATGATATCTGGGCTCCTGCTGGTTACCTGCCACAAAAATCAACATAGCTGTGTCTTTTCAAGGCCAATTTCAGACTTACATTTCAGAGTCTTTTCCTGCCACAATATTGGATTGTCATTCCCTGAGGAGCTGACATAAGCTCATGTCAGAGTGCTGCTTCTAACAGTCAGAACTCTTGGGAGATTCAGGCACTGCTTGCTCCATCAGGTTCTGCTCCATTCAGGGTTTTTTCCATCCCTCCCAACTTCCAGGTTATAACAGCCACAGACACACACACACACACACACACACACACACAAAATAATCGAGCCTGTGCATTAAATCTCCACCTACCTAGCCTGGTTTTTTTTACTTCTTTTGACTGGTTGAACTCTTATCCACAGTCATGCTTAGCTGTACCACTGGTGAGTGTATCACAAGCCTTTATGTCTGAAATAGTCAAAGTGAGAATGAGGAAACAGTGAAATCGAGGGATCCAAGTAAAACACAGAGTATCTGTGATCCCTTGCTCCCCATGGATGGTTTAAAATTCTTATGGCATTTAATTTTTCAGGTATTTATTGCTCTAGGGGACAGCTAATTTTTCCAGTATAAATCAAGCCATAAGGATATTTCAGCATATATAAGACATTTCTTGTGCAATTATTGAAATGCTTAATATGAAACTTCCTGCCCAAAGTGAATGGAAAAACACATCTGTTTTATGTGTTGTTACATTGGGCACAATGCCCGTACTTAAAATTTCCAGTGAGCAAAAGAGTATTGAAAAGGATCTTACCCTAAATGTGTACACTAAATACTCTTTGAATTCCTACACTGTTTCTTTGAGGTCCTTGAGGAAAAAATATGCTGAAAAGTGCTTTAGAATATGAAAAACATATTTAGTGGCAAAAAAAAGAATGCAGTTAAATAAATGAGTATGAAAACCAGTGATTTTTATGGGGTCAACAGTTTATTTGGGTTATTTGCAATATAATCAAAAAGGTCTTAAAAAGCTTTCTGTGACCTTTAACTTTAAAAATGGCTGGAACATTAATCTGCTGAATCTATAATGAATTCATTTGCAGTTTGAGCTTTTTCAGAGCTCCTTGCAATGTGTACATCAAAGCCAAACTCAAGTTTCTCTTTTAGAAACTTAGTTACAACCAGTGAAATGTTACATGTGCTGGTCAAACCCATGTAGCAATGGGAATAACCCATCTTTCTCTGGAAGTGTGCTTCTTTTACTTTGAGCCCTTCTGTGGGATTTTGTTGTGGTGGTGGTATCTTTTTTGTGGTGGTGTCTTTGCAAAGAACTAACAAAGTTACTTCTTTAATAATAGAAGTTCTGTATTTGGAAAAAAAGTAATTCTGCACCTTGCTGCTGGCCTGAAAGAGGAAACTTCCAATGTTGCATGCAAACAGTATTACAGATTGCTGTGGGATGTTGTGGGGGCAGTGCACCCTTCCTGCAGCTTTTGGCATTTCCTCTTCATTTTATACCAAGCATTTTTCATCTGATTTATAAAGAGCCACAAACCAATGCTGGCTCTGGTAGTATCACCAAGGCCCAGAATAAAATGTAGCCTTGAGTGTTTCCACCCTTTGTCCATGGATGTAAATTCAATGTCTTTAGTTGGCACACTTTAGGACACCAGGCATAGTTTTGATTGGATTAATTATTTAAAGTGTGACCCTTCACAATCTGTGAGAAACATCAATGTAGATAAATATAATGGCTAAACTCTGGTGACTACAATACACCATTTACTGGGCTCACTTGGAGGTTTTGGCCAATTCCAAGAACCACAGTTAGGAATTTGAGTTCCTATGCATTCAGCAGAAAGAGATGGGACAATTCTGATTCCACTCTGCTCTTTCTGGGGCAGTTCTGAATCCCTGTTTGAGGTTGACTCAAGCACTGGTGTAGACTGCTGCAGTAGTGCTTGTCAGTTTGTTTTATAGATTTCTTGTGAAATAATATTGACTTTCTCAAGAACTGCTCTTTGAAACAGAAGGTATTCATTAGCTTTTTGTTTCATATAAATCCTTTACTCTAGATGTTGAGTTTCTGAGGACTGATTCAGCCACGAATGTCAGCTAACTCCAAGAATTTTCAGATGTTTGTTCAAGGAGCACTTGTATACCTAGCTTCTTTAGATCCTCTGGAAAATTTAAACTTGCCTCTAGCTGTCCTGCTGCAGTTGGGCCTAGTGAAGGATGTTGCAGTCCAGAGTGTGCCAAGTCCTACAATTCTTACATAAGAGGAAGCTTCCATTGGTTACTGCCTGATGACTTTTTTTTCAAAATCATTACTTTCCAGCCACAACTGTCTGAAGATGAAGTCATACAAGTATATGTAATCCTGGGCACACTTGGACTCAGGAGCATCTGAGCTTGGCTACATTTCAGCAGCAGCAGCAAGAGCTACTTGTATCCCTAATTAGAAGTGGTTAAAACACCAAGTTTTGAGTTGCCAGTTTGAAAATTGTGTTTTATTGATATTTCTACTCTTTTTGCTATCCTTGTGATCTAATGTTCATGGTAATCAATGTGAGCAAGGGAAAGGAGTAGGGAATGGGCACTTTTTTCTGGAAAACATTTGGAGCTAATGAAGTTACTAATTTGTCTTCCCTTGTCTTTTTTCTAGATATTGTAAATTGTGACTTGAAGTCTACACTGAGAGTACTGTACAATCTGTTTTCCAAATACAGGAATGTGGAGTGAAGAATTGATTTGAGTCACAAAGGAGTGTTGACAAAGAAAACATCATAACTAGCCTATCTTCCATAAGTATTCCTCTGCATCTCTATCCTAAAAGGAACAAATCCATTTACCTGAAGAATTTTTGGGTTTTAGTTGATTATTCTGGCACTACTATTTTCACAGTAGATTTAAAACTAATATAACTTATAAAGAAAAAAGGGTTTGGGGGAAGGTATCTGGGTATTTTCTGGGGGAATTCATGTCTTCATTCTGGGATAATTCAATCTTGTCTGGGAGACATTCTTGTCTTCACACTGTTTTTAATAGGTGAAGCAACAATGAAAAGAAAATTAGTAAGTTTGATTCAAATCAGCCTTTGGGGCCAATCATAGGAATATTCTGTACTGAGTACTTAATTATTTTTTTACATTAATTTTTTTTTAATCTGGGGAGGGGAAGAGTATTTTCTATCCATGATAAGACAGTTCCATTCTAATTGTGAGGAATGTGCATGGGGAGAAACAGTTAAATACACTTGTTCACATGACAGCTAAGAAGAAGAAGCTTGACTTGCTGAATATATAGTTCCAATGCTATTATTAGGCTTTAATTTTATGGGTACAAACTGAAGTGGCCTACTCATTCCTTCAGACTTACTATGATGTGATGCTCTGCTTCAATATGGGCTATTGAGCATTCCACAGAACCTCACTTTGCAGCTTGTCACTTGTTTTTGTTCAAGGAAGAGATCTTTTTTGCAAAGAACACTTTTCAGGAAGACACACCTGTATAATACAGCTTTTCTATAATATTTGTATTATTATAACATTTAAAAAGTAGAAGAATGGCTTTTTTTTATTTTGGCAGTTTAATCACAGGATTATCAGATTGCAAGTTCAGATTCATTGCTAAATAGAATTTAGAATTGTTCCTTTGGTTGATTTTATGATGAATGTATGTTCGTCATAATGAACTGCATAATGTTCAACACGAAGAAGTAAGATTCATTTTCTAGAAATGGTCAAAACTACTTCCATCCAAAGATTCAATTAGAGCGTGAAGTTCTTTTGTGATTTTACATGGCTACAAAGATTTTTTTTTATTTAATTACCACCAATTGAGCTGTTACCTGTTTGGTTTTAGCTTTAACAAAGACACAGAAGGGAAATGGGAGATGATTCTTCCCTTAGACTGTTACCAAGCTCCAGTTATGCTTCCAGAGGAAGCTGCTGGAGGCTGCCTGCATCACTTCTGAAACAAAGCGCTCCGTTGCCACCACAGATTCTTGGGGTCCTGCTTTACGCAGCCAGGAAAAAAATTCCTCAGGCTGAAATTCCTTGATAACTCTTCAGAAATCTTGGGAGTGCTTAGTGCAGGGAGGAGAGCTGTTAACAGCCCTGCAGCTGGAGCAGGGCAGGCTCAGGTCAAGGAGAAGCGATGGGGCAGTGCTTGAATGGTCACCAGCAGAAAGGCAGAGCTGGCAGGGACACAGTGCTTTACTCATGATGTAAAGCATTGCATCTTTCCATTTGCCAGGGCTTTTTTTCTTTTTCTTTTATGTAGAGCTTTACAGTACAACGTCAGCACAGAGGGAACTCCAGCAATGATTTTCTGTCTTTGCTAAACGCCAGCTGGTATTTGGTAATAAGGAGATGCTGACTTCTGCTGGGGGGCTACAAAATTATTTTCCTGAGACATAATATGAACTTTTCCAAGGGAAAGTCAATATTCAATTCAAAGGACAATGCCTGGGTGTTCTCTGATCTCAGAAATTATCTGATTAAGAATATCTGAGTAAGAAGCACTCTAAATATCTTGGTTAAAATATTTTCTTACCTGTGTGTTTTAAACTGAGGTTCTGAAATTAGAGGTACAGAAAACAACAGGCATTTCCCCTTTACAGGGAGAAATAGCTGGACATTTTGACATTTTGACCTCAATGAAAATGAACATTTTCATTACAGCTTTAGTATCTGAGAAGCTAAACAATAGGAATGAACCAAACTTTTTGTGAGCAAACGGAGACAGAATTTCTCGTGTATATATCAGCAGCAATTTCAGCTTATTTTAATGTTTAACATGCAAGCTTTTCGTTTGCACACCTAGTAGTAATTGTAATAGCTAATTAAAAAACAAATTATGTTTTTTCTGCAGACCATGCTCAGCTGCAACACTTTTGCATTTCAACAGTGCTGAAGGATTTTGACAGCCTTTGTTTTCAGGAGTGCACTTTCTTTTAAGAGGAGATTTGTGTGGGTAAAGTGAACACTGAAGCAGTTTTCTTTGCCTAGACTTGCAAATAAGTATTTCTTGTGCTATATGGGCATAACATTATTGGAGATTTATCTGTCAGGCTCCATTTCCATCCTTATAAAACATGAAACTGAGACAGAATTATTAAATCCTCACATTGAAATGCAATTATGGAGAACTGTAGAAGCATTTAAACAATATCCAACCTTTCCACAATTATCCATCCCATGGTAAGAATTTATGTAAATGAAAATCTGCTATATAAACAACAGTATCCTATGTAAATATAGAACCATTGATAGTTTTAACAGTTACACATAAATAGTATATGCTGCCATGTAGGAGTGGGTCACTGCTTATATTTTTGACAATGTAGATTTAAATAGCTATCAGGTAAATATGAAATCCAATATAGAGATTCATCCAATATAGAGATTATATCTAATATTTATTGCTTTGATTCAGAATATAAGAGAAATATAGAATACTACTGTAGACAGCTTGCTTTTCAGCAGTCGGTGTAGGCCAGCCCTTTCCTTCTGGGAAGGGAAAAGTTATCTGGGCCAAATTCTGCCACACCTACATTTCTTTTATTCTTGATGCACAGCAATGCACCCTGACATACTGCTGAAAGCAGAATTCTCCTCACTGTTTATATCAAGATAGAAGTTGTTTAAATTTTGGCCAATCCCAGGTTTATTTATAATTAGTTAAGATGATTAAGTGGACCCAAATCAATTGATTGAGCTCGTGTGAGACATGAGCTGCCACCTGGAGAGGCCAGTTCCTCTCCTGGTCCCAGAGGGAGCCTGTGGTCCCCAGGCTGCTGTCTCAGCACTGCGGATCCTAAAGCCAGCTGGGGTAAATCCAGGGCCCTGCCTGAGGATCTCATGGTGGTTTTGGGATCCCACCCACCAGAGCACTGTGCCTGTCTCTGTGCTGTGTCACACAAGCCCCACAGGCAGCTGAGCCCACCAAAAAGTGGCCAGTTCTTGGCCTGCCTCGAGAGGCAATCAAGCAGTAATCATTGCTGCTGCTGGGGCATTGTGAAACCCCCCAAAAGAGCAATTTTCTGTGACTTCTGATTCATCCATTGCATCCAGCAATAGGATATCTAGGTTTCTTCTGTGGCTGGAGATGGGCATCCTTTCCCTCCTGATGGATCCTGGTGTGCTCTTTGAAGCACACAGAACTTGCTGTTTGGGTTTTTTTTTTTTTTAAAGAGGAGCTACAGATTTTTCATAATGTGTCAATAAGCTGTTGTCAAGATAATTACCTAAAATCCGAATATCTTGAGATCAGCTCCTTTCAGATTTCTTTCTCAGCTGACTGGCTGTTATTTGCCATAAAGAATGAGTCCTATAAAAAGGAACCTTTGCATGATTTTACCCAAGACACACTCATAAAGCCCAGAATTTGGATTGCTCTGTATTTCTGATGGAGCCCAGAAGAACCGAGTTTCCTATTAAATGTGCTGACTGCTGAATGCAGCTCTTTACATTTCCTAGTCATGTTACAGAGGGTGTCAGCCCTTGCAGCTCCATAGCTCAGGAATTCAAGTGGACCAGCAGGAGCTGAGGTCCTAATCCACTGCAGTGAATTGTGGCAGGAATCACCAGAGCCTCTCTTAGAGGAGCATTGCAGTGCTGGGGGATGGCTGCATTCAAGCAGACCGTGATGACTGGGGTATTGGTTGGCTTTTGTTCTTACTTTTCATTCTGGAAGTATGGTTTTAAATTCACGTTTCAGGTTGTTTTAGCAGACACCTTACTGCAAGCCACAGTGTTGTAAAGCAGAATGGCTTTTAGAAGTTTATTTCATTAGGTAAAGATATATGTGATATTTAATATACTAGATGCCAGCCTTAGGTCTTGTTTTTGTTATTCTTGTCTTCCTCTCAAAACAACCTTCATCAATGGCCAAGCATTCAAAGAGAAAACAGTGCCTTGAAGACCTCTTGCAAGATTTTTAGACTGTTACCTGTATGACTTTTGTCATTTTATTGTAAGAATTAATGTGGGCTTTCTCTTCACAGTCAAGGTACAGTTACAGACTGAAGAAATCCTTTGTAAAAAGTTACAATTAGCTTGCATGAAGATATTTTACTTTGATTTGTCACATGAAAACTTGACATAGCACCACCAAAATTTTGAAATTAGGCGTACCTCAATATCCACAGATTTTTCCAAAGAGCTTTTGAGTCATTCAACATTTACAAGGGCTAATTTTTTGTATTCTGAAAATATTTTCTGTGAGATTGTTTCTGCAATAATGAGATTTTCTTTTTTGTCTGACAATTTAATACCATGCACGCTGCAACAATAGTAGTCATTGAAACATTTGGTCCTCAATTTCAATATCAAACTAACTGAGAAAAAAAGAATATTTTCAAACTTTGCTGAACGTGTATCTGAAAATAATTGTTAGTTAAAATTAAGCTGCATTGCCTTCAGCTGCAGAGTTAGTAGCTTTCACAGAATATATGTACTCTGTAAGTAAAAGACACACTCTTGCTGATTTTTTTTTCCTGTGCTTTTCCTGAAACCTTTTGTTATGATTCACAATAAAATTTGCACCTGAAAATCAACCCTGCATGTTGTTGTTGGGTCAAAGAATGAGTTGTCTGACAAAAAATTAGGCAAGCTGTGTGTTTTGTGTTCTCAAAACTTCCAGACCTCTCCATGCACCCAAGCCTTTTCCAGTAACCCCTTTGTGGGTGTGCAAGGTGTTTATTATTATATTCTGTGGGGGCTGGTGACAGCTGAACGGGGGCTGGCAAAAGCAATCATGTAAACATATGTTTGAAATGATTAACAGCAGCAGGTCAGGAAAATGCTGTCTTTGACTCAAAGCAGCAAAGAACACCTTTACTTTTAACTTTGTGGCGCTGGGCACTTCGGTGGGGATATCCCAGCTGGATATAATGCAATTCTCTGCAGAGCAATTTTGGTAATTTTGAATCTAACAAAATGTTAGCAAAACATTGAAATTATAATGTCTGTGTCAGAAAATAATTGCATTTAGGAAGATTCTGAGATCTATTTTTTTATAAACTTGTTTTTGTTGCGACCCTTTAATGCAGGAGCTTCAATGCAGAGCTTGGAACCAGTCCAAAATATAGGCATCTAAAGTGCTCCAGATCGACATTTATAGCCACTGAATTACTGGCTGGAGTCCAGAAGCAGGTGTTTGATCTTTAGGTCTGCTTGTAAAGCTGAAACCACCAAGCAGAGCTGCCTAATCAACAGGGAGCACTAAAGACAGGGTGAGTTTTAATGCCAGTCTTCAATCCCAGTTTTACTCAGGGCTGGATAGAAGCAGTTCTGCTTGCTTAGGATCCACATTCTCAACCCCCACCATAAGCACTTGGAGCTTTTGTCCTAAATTTTGTGGGTTTTGTCCTGAAGAACAAGACTTGCTCTTCTTCAAACATTGCAGTACAACACAAAGGTCACGGTCTGGCTGCCTCAATCTTTTCATTGCTGTTCACACAGAAAGCAAAAGATCTGGCTTTAATACCCTTCTGCAGCCATGGGAGTTACTCCTCCTCTTTAGAATCCTGCAGTATGAAATGAAGGAGAAATGATGTTTTTATTATTGTTGGAGGGGCACTGTTGATGCCTAAGCTGAACTCAGTGTGTAGAGTAACTCCACATTAACTGAGACAGAAGGAGAGCAGAAGAGGGAGCATAGCTGGTGATTAAGCTGTTGAAAAGGTGGAAAAGGATTTAGGGGAAGAACCTGTCTTCTGGGCCGCCTGTAAGGCCTGCTTCTGTATTTCAGTCAATCAAAAGCTGTTAAAATTCCCAAACATGTTTTGAAGAGAAAACAGACAGACCTCTGTCTTGCCTCTGTTTCACTGCAAAGTTCCTGCTGAGCTTCTACTTTCACTCCTCTTTGCCAGCACTCTGCATAATATATATGTGATGATACACTGAGTGCAGGGATGGTGATGAGGTACTTGTCTTGAGAGGCTCACAGTCCTGCAGGAAGGCAGGGGGGAATTCTGTGCTGTGAGCCTCTCTATCTCATGAAAGGAACGACAGGTGTGGGTTAGGGACCGAGTGCCCCTTTCTGCCTTTGGGCTGTGGTGTAAAACAAGGAGTTAAAAGTGACCAGTGAGGCTGGGGTGGTGCCAGTGCCCAGAGGAGGCAGGAAGGTTGTTGGCTTAGAAAATTTCCTCACTTTTGTGGTGGAGAGGTGGGTGCTCGGCATTGGGGTGAGGAGGT